ACAAATCCTCATCATGAGACATTAGACAAAACTGGTCCTCATTTAAAGCTATTATTTTGCTGAGGAATTTCTAACAGACAACATGAAGTTATTTGACTAGTAAACCCAGGCTGCATGCCTGCATCGTATGCAAATACCGACAACTCTGACAAGACTATTTTCAATCAAACCAACAAACTTAAACAAGCTTTCATTTACCAAAGATTAATTCACAAGACGTTAACTTTGAAAGACACTGGGTTCATTTCTACTACATTTAGAATTTATGTAAGCACTTATTTTAAGCCAAAACTCTTGATTTCTCAGAAACTGGGTTTTAACTCAAATTACATTCCAGGTTGATCTACCTGTCCAACTGCATCACAAAGGCACAGAGAAACCCAAGTTTTCGATTTACAGAAGGTCCAGGTTCTGGTCAGGTCCAGCCTGAACTTAACCTCGACTTGGTGACAACAGAAGAGATGATGAGCAAAACAGACAAAGAAAAGAAGAGATGAGATCAGACCTCGCCCTCATGGCCTCTTCCAGAGGGTTATCAAGATAAGAGTCACACAACAGTTCCTATGCTGGGCACACAACCCCAGCAGACAGTTCACAGAATAAATCACAGGTCTCCTACCCTTATAACTGACTCAGTAGGTGACTAAAATACTCAATGAGTCAACTGTCAAGAGAGGGCACCCCACTTAGGGTTGCTGGGGTGATCAGGCCCAGAAACCCAAAGTTGGGGCTCCCAGGGGTGGAGCCTTTGACTCTAAAGATTTCTTTGTTTCCCAGTTGCAAAGCTCAAAAGGAGACGAAAATGGCCATTGTAACTCTAAGAGAGATGAAGACATTTGGGTTAGTTCTATTCAGAAAAACCTTTTGTAAGCGCTTACTTTAAGTCAATGGAATAGAGCTCTTTAGAAAAGAAGAAGGAGATGAGCTCGGATTCCAAAGGCAGCTGCAGAGGAGATGGAAGGGATAAGCGGGCTGGGACGGTTTCTGACTTCTTATCCTTTTTTTTTTTTTAATTAATGTTATGATAGATTACAACCTTGTGAGATTTCAGTTGTACATTACTGTTAGTCATGTTGTGGGTACACCACTTCCCCCTCTGTGCCCTCCCCCCAACCCCCCCCCCATTTCCCTGGTAACCACCGATCAGATCTCCTTGTCAATATGTTAACTTCCACCTATGAGTGGAGTCATATAGAGTTCGTCTTTCTCTGACTGGCTTATTTTGCTTAACATAATACCCTCGAGGTCCATCCACGTTGCTGCAAATGGGCCAATTTTGTCTTTTTTTATGGCTGAGTAGTATTCCATTGTGTATATATACCACATCTTCTTTATCCAGTCATCAGTTTCTGGGCATGTAGGTTGGTTCCACGTCTTGGCTACTGTAAATAATGCTGCGAGGAACATAGGGGTGCAAGGGACTCTTGGGATTTCTGATTTCAGGTTCTTAGGATAGATACTCAGTAATGGGATGGCTGGGTCATAGGGTATTTCTATTTTTAACTTTTTGAGAAATCTCCATACTGTTTTCCATAGTGGCTGTACCAGTTTGCATTCCCACCAACAGTGTATGAGGGTTCCTTTTTCTCCACAACCTCTCCAACATTTGTCGCTCTTGGTTTTGGGTGTTTTTGCCAATCTAACGGGTGTAAGGTGATATCTTAGTGTAGTTTTGATTTGCATTTCCCTGATGATTAGCGATGATGAACATCTTTTCATGTGTCTATTGGCCATATTTATATCTTCTTTTGAGAAATGTCTGTTCATGTCCTCTGCCCATTTTTTGATCGGGTTGTTTGTTTTTTTGTTGTTAAGCCATGTGAGTTCTTTGTATATTATGGAGATTAACCCTTTGTCAGATAAGTGGCTTGTAAATATTTTTTCCCAATTAGTGAGATGTTTTTTTGTTTCAATCCTGTTTTCCCTTGCCTTGAAGAAGCTCTTTAGTCTGATGAAGTCCCATTTGTTTATTCTTTCTATTGTTTCCCTCAACTGAGGAGTTATAGTGTCTGAAAAGATTCTTTTGAAACTGATGTCAAAGAGTGTACTGCCTATATTCTCTTCTAGAAGACTTATTGTTTCCGGCCTAATCTTTAGGTCTTTGATCCATTTTGAGTTTATTTTGGTGTGTGGTGAAAAAGAATGGTCAATTTTCAATCTTTTGCATGTGGCTGTCCAGTTTTCCCAGCACCATTTGTCGAAGAGACTTTCTTTTCTCCATTGTAGGCCCTCTGCTCCTTTGTCAAAGATTAGCTGTCCACAGATGTGTTATCCTTTTTTTTAATTCAGATACAGTCTTTGCCAATTTATGGTTAGTCTCCTGTAAAGAATTCAGTTTATCATTATTATCTTTTGAAGCCTCTAAATGCCAATCATAATAAGCTTCCCATTCTTTTGCTTTAGTTTTACAGCCGGCTCTTTCTACTTGTGTGCGCAAATATAGTAGCTTTGAGAAATTGAACGTTCCCCACTTTGGCCACTTAAGTCATTCTCAGTTAATCCTTCCCATTCTGTTAGATACTTGCAAGCATTGTTTCCATACAGGAAACCAGCTGGAGTTCCCTTGGGAGGTCGTCCATCCGGGAGCTGGCCGGCTTTAAAAAGCACGGTTTTCCCGTTTTCTTTTTGCTTCTCTGTTTTTTTTTTTTTAATAAAGTCTGAACAACTTCTAAGGACAGTGTAGTGGGTCAGAACTGTGCTGCTTGTGAGTGTTACTCCCTATAGAAAGGTCATAAACACTCTCTTACATGCCTCGGTTTTTCCCTCCGGCTGCCTAATACAGCCGTGGGAGCTCGGAGCTTGGGGTGACCAGCCCTTATGTGCGCGTCCCCGGACGAGCCTGTAATTAATTACAGTGAATGAGAGTGGAGTTCCCTATGGGACCGCTGCACGTCTCGAGGATTGATCCTCTGACACTCCCACTGAGGTCCTTAGTCACCTAAGGGCGCCTTTTGGTAAAGGCTGGGAGGAGCAAGTGTCCCTTTTCTTCGGAGCTGAACATGGTCAGTCTCTCATTTCTCTATCAGGCAGTTTGTTCAGACTCTATAAACACAATTCTTTCCAATTCAAAGCCAAATTAAAAGGACAACCAACCCAGCTCACTCCAAGCTCCTCTAAGCCCCTGAGGCTTAGGAATTCTCTCTAGGTTTTTCTCCACCTAGGAACTGTACCAGTACCCCTCAAAACCTCTAGTCTTAAGACCTTACCCAGCTCATATAAACTCTTGGACCGTCAACTTAAAGTAAGGAGGTCCAGGTTTCAGGCGAACTCACCAAGGTCACCTGAAGAATGCAGTGATCCCGGGGGCTCAATGGGCCCTTATTGGTACCGAATGCCGGTTCAGTGTAGATTCCAGGTGGCCTCCGGTGGGTTTCCCTGAAATCCTGCCGCGACTACGCCAAGAACTGTCGACGAAAATAATCCATAACCAATCTATAAATGAAAAATTGGGTGAGTTTATTCTGAGCTTAAATTTTAGGATTATAACCCGGGAGAGTCTTTCCACAAAGGAACAGAGCACTCCAAAGAAGTGGGGGCATAAGGGTGGTTATATACCCTCAAAGAGGGTGTTTCCCATATGATTGAATTGTCCCTTCCACAACAGTCACAAGACTGCTCTGTCGGCACAGCGATTGATGGAAATAGCAGGTAGGTCTTCTGTCTCAGTGAACACAGCAGGGTGGCAGTCTGTTGTCTCCAGCTGAGTGGTCACAGGTGAGCTGGGTGGTCAAAGGTGAGTGCAGCAGTCAGTTCCTAGCCTAAGGAAAAATGCTTATCCCTAAGGAAATGCTAATGTGGGGGGAAGTTGCACCTTTATCTCAAGGGCCTTTGTTCTGGCCACAGGAAATGTCTAAGCAGATATGCAATGCGTGCTCAATAGCCACAGTCAGGCCCTTTTGAAAAAGAAAGCCAGGCCGAATTAGGTTTATACCAAGTGTAAATGATCTAAACACAAAATAAAAGACAGATATTATCAGAATAGTTGACCAAGTTTGCTGGCAACCCTCTTGTAAGAGTGGGAGTTCCCAGGTTTGGGGTCCTCACTTGTGTGACGTGAAACCATCGTGTGTGCAGCATCCACGTGGGCCACCCCATATCACTCTCATGGAACTTGTGGGCAGCGGACTGATGTGAATATAAAGCTCAGCTGCCTGTGCTCCACGAGTCTTGTGTCTTTTCCCAACATCTATGAAATTATGGCAGGCTAAGATGGGCACAATTTCAGACCCTCCACAGTTCTTTACTATGAGGTTTATGGCAGGAACGCAATGCTGGTTCAATATTCAGAAATGAATGCATCTAATCAACCATATTAATTGCTTAAGGGAAAAAACTACACAATATCAATTGATGCAGAAAAAGCATTTTCCAAAACAAAACATCCACTCACAATAGAAACTCTCAGAAAAGTAGGAATAGAAGGAAACTTTCTCAACCTGGGATAAGAGGATCTACAAAAACGTACAGTAAATAACAGCTTGGCCTGTGTCTCGGGTAGACCAGAAGCGCCTTGACCGATGAGGGACAGGACTTGGTGGATGATTACTGTTTTTGACAACGAGACAATCAAGTCTCACCTCCCTAGCTATTCCTGGGATCGCCTCACAGATCAAGCTAGTCGTTGACTGGGGTCAGCGCTGGGGAGGAACCAAACCCCGCACTCCCCCTCTCCTTTTCCATCTCACTGAGGGGCGAGTTTCCTGTCCATCCACTTCCAGCTGACTCTCCGTTTCCCCTCTCCGTCTCCCTCCCTTGGAGAAAGGAGAGCGCGAGGATCCTCCCGCACCCGCCGCGGGGGCTCGGGCCCTCCCCGCCCCACAGCGCAGGCGGCTCCCGGGGGCGGCGCCCGCTCCTCCCGGCCGCAGGGGGCGCTGTGGGGGCGGAGCGGCCCCGGGCCCGGGCGGGCGGCGAGACCCAGCATGCGCCGCGCCCTGACAGGGCCTGTGGGCGGGGCGGGAGGCCGGGGCGGGGCGGGACGCCGTGCGGCGGGGGCGGGGCCGGAGGCCGCTGGGTGGTCAGTGCGCGGCGTCTCTTTTTCCTGAGTCGGGACCCGGCGGGACCACGAGGCGCCATGGGCGAGCTGGCTCCGGTAAGAGGGGCTGTAGAGGCTGCGGGCCCTGCCGAGACTCGTCCCTGTCGCGGTCTGGAGTTGCGTGCCGGTGCAGGGAGTGAGGCGGTGAGAACCCGGGGGGACTGTCCGTGGCCGGGACTGAGTCCGAGCCCAGGCCCGGGCCGGGACGGCGTGGTTGTGGTGCTCGAGTTGCTCTGCAGCCGGACTGGGAGAAAGGTGCCGCGTGGCTAACTGCGCGCTCTCGGCCGCTGTCCCCGCGCCCTGTCGGCCCTCGGAACGTCGTGGTTTCTCCGGGGCCGCGCGCTGGGCTTGGCTGTGCTGTGGATACAGCCCCAGAGACGCTCAATATGAGCAGATGAGAAAAAGTTAGGGGAAGGCAGGCAAGAAACGAGAGGAACTGGAGGCGGCACCCTCTGGGAAAGGACAGAAAATTTGAAACCAGTTGGGTGTTTATTCTAAGTCACATTTACCGCGAATACTCTAGTGTTGTTATGGAAAATTCGAATACTGGTTTTAGAGTTTGAAAGTCGTAGCCTGAGCTTAACCCAGGAAACTCTGCACATTCAGTTAAGTATACCTTGCCTAAATATGCAAGTTTTCCTTGTACCCCCACTGAGATTTCATATCTAACCATCTACTAATGTAATGCATTTTCTTCCTTCTGCTTCTGACCCGCCGCCCCCAACACCCCTTGGCAGGTACCAGTTTTGTTCAGATTTCTGCAAGCGGTGTCTTTTCAGCCAGACTTCATTTTTTTGCTCTTTTTATAAGTGCTCAGAAACCTCCTGGAATATCCACCTCTATTCTGTAAAAGTTGATGGTTTCTGTTAGTTCTTTGGCTGTAAGCTTGAGTCCAGAGAAAAAGCTTAAGTGATGACAGCTTCTTGGCTATTGTCTTATTTGGGATAGGCAAAAAGAAATCAGCATTTTCTGGTTGATTTTCCTTTTCTCCGGAGCGGTTCAGTGCTAATTGTCAGCATGCTCATACAAGAGTCTTGTAGGCGGAAATCACATGAGTGAGGTGCAAGAAAATGGCTGAGGAATTTCTTTGAAAGTCCACCTTCTAAAAACAACACTAAGTTTGTTTGTTTTTTTCCGCTTTTTCTCCCCAAATCCCCCCAGTATGTAGTTGTATATTTTAATTGTGGGCCCTTCTAGTTGTGGCATGTGGGATGCTGCCTCAGCATGGCCTGATGAGCAGTGCCATGTCTGCGCCCAGAATCTGAACCCGAGAAAGCCTGGGCCCACTGAAGCGGAGCGTGAGAACTTAACCACTTGGACATGGGGCCTGCCCCAGCAACACCAAGTTTAAACGTGTTTGTTATAACATCTGATACTTCAGCTTGGGGGCCTGTAATAGCTTTGATGATGGAATTTTCTCTCTGCACCTTTTCTCTCCAAAATCCTGTCAAGTGGCCCTGGTTGTCAGGTCTCCTAAATCCTTTATTGGGAGAATTTACTTTGTAGTATTTGTGACCAACATCTTTCATACACTTGGGAAGAGCCCTAGCTGTCTTGCAAGATGTCCAGCATTTTCATGGTAGACCCCCATGTACCTTTGTAGCACAGAATCTGACAGGAGTGAAATGGAGTTTTCTTTTTTTTTTTTTAAAGATTTTATTTTTCCTTTTTCTCCCCAAAGTCCCCCAGTACATAGTTGTATATTTTCAGTTGTGGGTCCTTCTAGTTGTGGCATGTGGGATGCCACCTCAGCATGGCTTGATGAGCGGTGCCATGACTGCGCTCAGGATCCGAACCTGCGAAACCCTGGGCCGCCTAAGCAGACCACGTGAACTTAACCACTCAGCCACGGGGCTGGCGCTGAAATAGAGTTATCAAAAGTTAAATTATATATGTTGTCTTCATTCCCTATTGTCACAGTGGATCTGTCCTTGGAACCTCCAGGAAGAGAATCCTAGTTAGTCCATACCAGAGAGTATAGATTAATAGTCTATGAGCCAATCATGGCTTGCCGACATGGCTCTTTTTTTTTTTTTTTTTACCATCCCTTATAAAAATTGTGAATTTTAGTTGCCAAAATATAAAAATCAGGAGAGTTCATATAATATGTGAACATTTCCAGTTTTTCTTTAAAAACTGTCACATCCAAATGTAAAACGTTAAGCTATACAACCTATAGAAGACGATATATGAGAAAATCTTTGGGATCTAAGGTTTGGTGAAAAGTTCTTAGATGTGGCACCAAAAGCACACTCTATAAAAGAAAAAAATGATAAATTGGATGTCATCAAAATTAAAAACTTGCTCTGTGAAGATGGTGAAAAGACAAGCTACCAACTAGGGGAAAATATTTGCAAACCACATACCTGACAAAGGACCTATATCTAGAATATATAAAGAACTCTCAAGACTCAACAGTAAAAAAAAAAATCCAATTAGAAAATAGGCAAAAGACATAAAGAGACATTTTACCAAAGAGGATATATGGATGGGAGATAAGCACATGAAAAGATGCTCAACATTATTATTCATTAGGGATATGAAAACTAAAACCACAATGAGATAATTGTACATCTATTAGAACAGTTAAAATAAATAAAGTGACATTACCAAATGCTAGTTATGCTAAGAAACTGGATCTCTCATACATTGCTTGGTAGGAATGTAAAAGAGTTCAGCTGCTCTGGAAAATAGTTTCTTAAAAAATTAAATATATACTTCCTATATATTGGGAAGTTGTACCAGCAGCAGTTGTAGTCCTGGGCATTTATCGTAGGAAAATTAAAATGTGGGTCCACCCAAAAACCTGTACATGATTGTTCATAGCAGCTTTTTTTCTAATAGCCCAAAACTAGAAACAGCCAAAATAGGTGAATGGTTAACCAACCAAACTGGTACATCCATGCCCTTAAATAGCACTCAGCAATAAATAGAAATGAAATCTTGATAAACACAACTTCAGTGGATCTCAAGAGCATTATGCTGACTGAAAAAAGTCAATCTCAAAGGTAATATACTGTATGACTTCATTTTTATAACATTCTTGAAATGACAAAGTTATAGAGATGATAATAGATTAGTGGGTATGATTATAAAGGGGTAGTGTAAGGGAGATCTCTGGTGATGGAATAGTTTTGTTTCTTGGTTGGTGGTGGTTACATGAATCAGCACATGTGATGAAATCATATAGAATTATACACACTAGACCAATGTCAATTTCATGGTTTTGATCTTGTACTATAATGTGTGATGGGACCACTGGGGTAAACTGGGCAAAGGGTATCGGGAACCTATCTGTGCTATCTTTGCAACTTCCTATGAATCTATAATTATTTCAGAATAAAAAGTTTTTTAAAAAATGGGCATATCCAGCAAGAGTGGCCCAGTCTTACATACCAATAATTGTTGCTGCTAAGTAAAGGATGCCCCCTTTAGATGGTGCATCTGCTCAAAGGCCTGCTATTCATTTGTTCGCTTTACTTGGTTCCAGTAGACATCTGTGACAGCTTTATTATGTTGTTCATGGCCCCATCCGGAGATAACTACTTGAATATCATTTCTTCCTGTCTCTTAAAGACATTGAAAAACGAAGTAGCCTTAAAGTGAAAACGTATGTATGTACTGTTTGTGATTCCAGGTAACCGTGTTATTTGACGATGTGGCCTTATATTTTTCGGAAGAAGAGTGGGAGATCCTGGAGAAGTGGCAGAAGGAAATGTATCAGCAAGTGATGAAGACCAATTATGAGACCTTGGATTCCCTAGGTACGTGGGGCTTCTAAGGAATCACTTTTTAGGAACCAACCTCATGCTAATAGGCTCTCCTCCCCTTTACCAGCTATTGGCTGGTTGAATGTGATACCATGCCCAGCTTACATTCAGAAAGAGAGAGACCAGCCAAGAGGCTTGGCATTGCTGGTAAGACTGGCAGCTGAACCAGGTGGGTAATAAAGACAGGGAGAGGTAGGTGGTCTCCAGATATGTTTGGAGGTAGCGTCACAGATTTTCCTGGTGGATTGGACATGGAGTCTAAGGGTGAAAGAAGAATCAACTCGTAGATACTTTGGCTTGAGTATCTTAATGGCAGCGGCTTTATTAACTGACATGAAGAAGGCTTGGGAGAGAGCAGGTTTTGGCCACATTGAGTTTGAAATGCTTATTAGACATTTGTATGCAATATAAAGTAGATAATTGGGTATGCAAGACTGGAATTCCAGTGAAGATCAGGACAGGATTCACAAATTTGGGAGTCAATATATAGACAGTATTGAAACCACAGGGCTAGTTGAGATCACCCAGGGAGAATATGTAGACAGGACAGAGGCCCAGGACACCTCAGCATTTAGAGGTCAAGCTAAGGACACTAAGGCCATTAGGGTAGGAGAAACTAGAGCACTGTCCTGCTCCAGTGTTGTGTTTTGCGTTATCACAATTAGCGTCCTTGGGCTTAGAAAATCCTGTCTGATTTTTTTCACATTTTAAAAACTAAACAGTATTATTTGCAAATGATTTTCTTTACAGCACCAGATCCTAGCTTCAGAGATTAGGATTTAGCAGGTCTAAGCTCAGGCCCAGGAATCTACATTTTAATAAGCACTTCAGGTGCTGCTAATGCTGATGGTACACACTTCACTTTGAGAAACACTGATGCGAGGGCTGAGCTGTGGGTGACACCACTGTAGTGTATCTGCTACATCTTCTAAAATCCCTCCACTGCGTTATAACAACCCATCTTCCCTCAGGCTTATGTTCTTAGGCACATCTCTCTCTACCTCTTTATCACTGTCATTTAACAACCTCCCGGTTCCTTCACTGTGTTGACAAGAATGTCAGCACCTCAGCAGTTAGTTTCCTTGGATATATGGAGTCTAATCAGAAAAGTTTAATGATTGGGGTTCCCTCCTTGACCCCCTGTGATTTTACTTTTTATTCTGCTCACATTATTCTCATAATGATCAGTTTTGAATACTTTCTGCCTGGATCTGTCAGCCTTTTAAAAATCCTCATCATCCTTAACTTCTCTGTTTCCTTTAAATTTGTGAAGTATTGCAGAGAACATTTAAGTTAAACAGTCTGATTAGTCTGTATTTTATTGTCATTCATGTAATTTCAAGGTTTCCTTTCTTTTAAATTTTTTTTTTATTAAGGTTACGTTGGTTTATAACATCATATAAATTTCAAGTGTACATCATTGTATTTCAGATTCTGTATAGACTGCATCGTGTTCACCACCAGAAGTCTAGTTGCTATCCATCACTATACAAATGTCCCCTTCACCCCTTTTGCCCTTCCCCACCCCATTCCCCTCTGGGAACCATCAGTCTGGTCTCTATGTCTATCTATTAGTTTATCTTCCACATATTAGTGAAATCATATGGTATTTGACTTTCTCTGTCGGACTTACTTGGCTTAGTATAATATCCTCAAGGTCCATCAATGTTGTTGCAAATGGCAAGATTCGTCCTTTTATATGGCTGAATAGTATTCCATTGTGTATGTATACCACATCTTCTTTATCCATTCATCCATCAATGGACACTTAGGTTGCTTGCAAGTCATGGCTATTGTGAATAATGCCTCAATAAACATACGGGTGCATATATCTTTTCGAATTAGTATTTTCATGTTCTTTGGATAAATATCCAGAAGTGGAATGGCTGGATCATGTGGTATTTCTATTTTTAATTTTTTGAGGTATCTCCTTACTGTTTTACATAGTAGCTGCACCAATTTACATTCCCACCAGCAGTGTACAAGGGTGCCCTTTTCTCCATATCCTCTCCAACGCTTATTTCTTGTCTTTTTAATAACAGCCATTCTGATGGGTGTGAGGTGATATCTTACTGTAGTTTTGATTTGCATTTAAGGGTTTCCTTTTTTTTTTAACCTGATTTTGATGTCATGTCTCCAGGAATCAAAGTCAGCTGTGAAAATTGTTTTTAGCCAAGTACTCAGGAACTCCATACTGAGTCTTTGTGGACTCTCTTTGCAGGCTGGGTTTTTTCCAAGCCAGATCTGATCACCTGGATGGAGCAAGGGAGAATGCTATTCACCAGAGACCAGGGACACTTAGAGAAAACAAGAATAACACTTAGCCCTTCTGCTGATGAGTGGTTGGACTTGAAGAATACTGGAAAGTTGCCACGTGTTGGTGAGTACGACGGGTTTAGGGTCATGACTCTTTTCATTTTCCTAGCTTTGTTTCCTGACTCTTTCTAGATAGTTAGCAGGATGTAATGAATGAAAAACATTGTTTTGATGGAGAATGTTATGTTTTTTTACTCAAGTGGGTAGCAAATATAAGAATGTATTATTTTTATAAAGAGGAAAGTTGTGTATATGTCAATAAAAAAAGTACAAGCCAGAAGAAGATGAGAATCTCCTGTAAGAGAGCAAGTAAAGGATCCACTTGTCAAGTCCTGAGGAGAAACCACTTTCCCCGTGAAATCATCATGTCTGTTTGAGTACAATATAGAGAAATGGAAAACCTTCGATGTTGTACAATATTTTTTTATTGTGCAGATTTTTAGATCTTGGGATTTTTTTTTAATTCCTTTTGAAGGAATACTTTTTAAATTCATTGTATCCTAAGGAAAATATTTGAAACATCTTAACATTTTAAATATTTGAGGGAATATGTCATTTTTTAGAGTATGTTAATAATGCTTTACTAAATGGAGATCTCCTAAGTCCCTGTGAGTCAAATGACTCCCCTGAAGAAGAGGGGATTTGAAACCAGGGCATGTGTGGGTAGCTCCCTCAAGAGGATAAAAGAATTCCCAAGGGCTTTATTTCATTGCCACTTTCTATTCATTCATTCATCTAACCAGGATTGAGTCCCTACCATGTTCATAGGACTGTGGACTATGTTAGGTATTACTTAGACTGGAGGGATATATATATATATATATATATATATGTATGTATACATATAAACAGTCATTCCACTCGAGGAGGTTATTGTCTCACTGACCTACTGACATGGCAGTTAAGTTAATCCGTTATATTGAACTACTGGATTAGTCAACTATAAAATAAGACGGCATACAATTGAATAAAATAATAAGTGGCAGTGGTAGTAAGTGCTATAGGGGTTTAGAGAAGAAAGAGCAGAGAGAGAGCAACATCCCAGCAGGACTTCTAAAGGAACTAGGATTTAAATAGCGAAGAATGGGCAGATTTGGTTAGGCAAAGATTCACTAGGGGTTTTACGTGAGCTGAAGCTCAGAGCTGGGCACAAGTCTGTCATATGTAGAAAGTGGAAGACACTGCGTGTAGCTGAATGTGGTTCTTGGGACACAGTGGGAGATGGGGGGCGTCATTAATTATCAGATTATTTGAGGCCAGGGATGCCAAGGTGAAAGTTTGAGTTCATCCTATAGAAAGGGAGGAGCTGGACAGGTTTTTGAGTACCAAAGAATGAACAACTTTGATGGCTATCCCTAAAAACAGATGTTCCCTTTGTACCAGGGGGTATGCACCCAATAATCACACCTGCTCCTCTGCTTGAGGTAAATAGTGATGAGAAATAGGAATTAAGGAGACAGGTAAGTGTGCTCTTGTGATGATCCAGGCAAAAGCTGTGGAATGCTAACTCACTAAATGATGTCATCCAGTTGGAAGCATAACCTGTGTTGTTGTTAAGATGACCACACAGATTCTCCAAGGGCACTTCCATCCTTCCTCATAGGTGAGGTTTCTCTTGTGTTGAGAGATTAAAATAAAGAGAGCCCTGTGACTCAGTTCAATTGGATGTGGGGGAGAAAGCTGTTCTGAAATACGGTGCTCAGGTGAGCATCTGAAATTGTCCTCTCCAGATGTACTGGGTGAGAATACGGGGCTGGCTCAGCTCCCTGTTTCCTGTCATCATGGCTTTTACTTTGGGAACAGCAGTGACTATGATTATATCAATATCTTTCTTATAATTTGGAGTTCTTTGGAAAAGGGAATTATTTATACAGTGCTCTTTGTGAATTCAGTAAATTGCCATTTTGACATTCCTGAGAAAGATACTTCCTATTAGCATTTCTTCCAGAAAACTTTTCCTGAAATCTATGGTAGAAGGGGGTAAGAATATGACCCAAAGCCTTCCTACTTAAATATTGTGCTATTTATTTCACAGATTTAAGGAAATATAATGGAACAGTCAAATTCTCAGAGTAACTCTTATTTTCGTCCAACTTCTGCTCACCCTCTTAGGGTCATCCATAGGTTCGCAAGATGTATTTGCCTGCCATTTTTTTCATGCTAAGCCGTTTCCTCACACATGATTAAAGGACTTGCATATCAAAGTTAAACTTAAATATAAATTACCTGTGGCAGGCAGATTCACAGAGTCATCAAGATCATTCTTAGTGACATGAAGGTGGTCCTTGAACCCCACCATGGTGCAGACACATCACTGATGAAGTTGGGCCCTCTTTTTTTCTCTCCAGGTGACCAAGGAACTCTGAAGGCAGAAGAGGAGGAATGCCATTTAAATGGTCTCCAAAAGCAGGGGTCATGTGCTACCTTATCAGGGGAGGAAAGAAAGATTTTATCAAATCAAAGAGTCGCCTTGCAACATCCAAGTCTCCCAGAAACAGAGATTGTAAATAAAAACCTCGACGTCACAGCATCTAATCAGGATAAGAATGATCCGTGGTATAAGCCGATGGGTACCCCAGGTCACCTGGAACTTCCACCAGGGCCAAGACTTTACTCCTGCTTTGTCTGTAGGAAGGTCTTCCATGTAAAGAGAGACTTGGTAAAGCACAAAAGGAACCACTCCAACAGCCAGCCCTGTAAATATGCAAAGTACAAAAACCAATCCCGAGGGCACTCTGGACTCAGGTGGACCCGGACAATCCTGTGTAAGAGGAAGCGTTTCCAGTGCACTAAGTGTGAGAAGAGCTACTCTTTCAAGTGCAGCCTGCTCATCCACCAGGTTGTTCACACGGGGCAGAGGCCCTTCCAGTGCTCTGAATGTGACAAGACCTTCCAGTATAAAGCCACTTTGAAGAAGCATCTCTGTTTGCACAAAGGGGAGAGGCCGTTTTCCTGCAAGGAGTGTGGCAGGGGTTTCATCCAGCAGTACAAGCTGACCGAGCACCTCAGGGTGCACACTGGGGAGAAGCCTTTCCAGTGTCCAGAGTGCGACAGAAGCTTCCGCCTGCAGAGAAGTCTGAAGGCCCATCTTTGTCAGCACAGTGGGAAGAAGCCCTTCCATTGTCCAGAGTGTGGCAGGAGCTTTTCCCGGAAGACCGCCCTGCAGGTCCACCAGAGAATACACAGTGGAGAGAAGCCATTTTCTTGTGATGAATGTGGCAGGAAATTTACCCGCAAGACTAAACTCACTGAGCATATCAGAGTTCACACGGGAGAGAAGCCCTTCCAGTGTCCTGAGTGTGATAAAAATTTCCGCCTAAAGAAAAGCCTAAAAGCCCATCTGTTTCAGCACAGCGGGAAGAAGCCCTTCCAGTGTCCAGAGTGTGACAAGAGCTTCTCTTGGAAGAACGCCATGAAGGCCCACCAGCGTTTACATAACGAGGAGAAGCCGTTCGCCTGTGCGGAGTGCGGCAAGAGGTTTACCCAGCCCTCTAAGCTCGCTCGCCATGGCAGAGTCCACAACAGGCAAAAGGAATTCTCCTGTGGCCAGTGCGAAAAGACCTTTCCTCGGCAGTCGAGGCTCACGGAGCATCTCAGGGTCCACACCAAAGAAAGGCCGTTCTCCTGTGCGGAGTGCGGCCGGAGCTTCAGCCGACACTCGCACCTCACTGAGCACATGAGACTTCACGGTGAGGAGGAGCCTTTCCAGTGTCCTGAGTGTGACAAGAGCTTCTTCTGGAAGGCCTCCATGAAGTTGCATCAGCGGACACACAGGGGCGAGAAGCCCTTCGAGTGTAGTGAATGCAGTAAGACCTACACTCATCAGTCTCAGCTCACTGAACACATGAGGATCCACAGTGGAGAGAAACCCTTCCAGTGCCCCGAGTGCAGTAAGAGTTTCCGTCTCAAAGGAAACCTGAAAAGCCACCTGCTCCAGCACAGCGGCAAAAAGCCATTCTCTTGTGTTTGGTGTGGCAAAAGTTTCACTCAGCAGTACAGGCTCACAGAACACATTCGAGTTCACAGTGGTGAGAAGCCCTTCCAATGTCCGGAGTGTGACAAGAGCTACTGCATAAGGGGGAGTTTGAAGGCCCACTTGCATACGCACAGTGGAGACAAGCCCTTCAGGTGTCCTGAGTGTGGCAAAGGCTTCCTCCAGAAGAGAAGCTTGAAGACCCACCTGCACCATCACCGAGAGGAGAGGCCTTTCTCCTGCGATGAGTGTGGAAGGAGCTTTACATACCTGGGGGCACTCAACACCCACATTGCAGTACATGCCAGGGAAAAGCCCTTCAGTCTCTAGGTGAAGCCACACACAAAGTAAGCAGTGACAGCTTTTAGGTGGAGCCAGCAGCCCTGTCGGCTCTGGCTGAGGCAGGATAAAGAACTTCACAGAACACTGGCTTCAGACACTGGCCACATACATAGCAGGCAGGGTGTGATGGCTCCTTAACAAAGGTTCCAAACAGTCCAGGCATAAGATAGTCAAAGGGGCATCTCCCCTCTGTAGTCCTCATGGGCAAGGCCGGTCAATCATGGAAGAACATTGTTTTGTTCTGTGATTTCATCAGTTTTTTCACTGTCATCCAAGAGTGGGATAATCCCTTCATTAAATTCTGAAACCACAGGCTGATTGAAGAAATGTTTCTCCCCAAAACTCCTCAGTCTGCTTTCCATTACCAGGCCTCCTTATTTGAATTTGTATTTTCTCAAATGGTGAGAGGGCATCTCTGTTTGGAGGACTTTCTCCATATTGCAAAAAATAAATGTCGTCTGCCATCTTATTTGGTAAAATGGTGGCCCATATTAGTGTTATTTCCTTCTGGGTTAATTTCAATCACCAAAATATTCAGGATTGTGAGTAGCAAGCAATGTTATTTATCTGAGTTCTCTGCTTTTTCAACAGTGTGTCAATTTTCAAATATAGTTGCCTTAACATTAGCGTCTCTGAGGTAAATACCAAAGGAAAAACTACTGTCCATGACATCACTCCATTTTTTGCTCTATGGCCTAATCTTTCATTATAAGGTAATTTTCCAGCCCATTATAGCAAACCTTCATCTGTCTCTTGGACTGTAATCTCTAACGTTATTCCTACAAAAACCTAAAGGTTTCCTTCCTTAATGAATCTTTGGAGGCTATGTAAATTTTTTGTCTTTGTAGCACAACATGTGATCCCAGATTACCTGAATCAGAATCAGCTAGGATGAAGGGCGCTCCATGAATCACAGTGTCTATACAAAAAGGAGAGGTGCCACCTCTGGTTGGTACAGTCCTGTGGGTGTAGGCCTCTTGCTGAGTTGATGGTGCCCTTGTGCAAAGAAAAGGACACTTTCCCGTGGCCTGTGCCAGGCATGTTGGGCTGGATATCAGTGTTGGCTGGCCTCTTACCAGTGTACCTCAGGACAACTCTGTGCCTTTGCCTGGGATTCATCTTAAAAATGCAGACACTTGGGACCCTCCCCAGATGTACTGAGATACAATCTTCCTCGGTGATCTCGTGCCAACTGAAGTTTCAGAACATGGTCTAGTGAGTGGAGAGACGAGGAAGGAAAACCATGTTTGAAAGGCATTCTAGCCATCATGCTGTGAGATTCAGGTTAGAACTCTTCCTTCAGCCTTTTCCTCCTCCCTGTTGTAATAAAGCTTCTTGTGATAAACTTTCTTACATTATGGGTATATTAGTCTGCCCGGGCTGCCATAACAAAATGCCACAGACCAGATGGCTTAAACCACAGAAATTTATTTTCTTACAGTTCTAGGGGCTGGAAGTCCAAGATCAAGGTGGCAGCAGGTTGGTGTCTGGTGAGGGCTCTTCCTGGCTTGCAGGTGTCATTTTCTCTGTCCTCACATGGCCTTTTCTCTGTGCGCTGGGTGGGGATCTCTGGTGTTTCTTCCTCTTATAAGGACATCGGTCCTATTGTATTAGGACCTCAACCCTCATGACCTCATTTAACTTTAATTAATATTGGAGAACCCAGTTGTGTGCATTAGACCTGAGCAAAGTGAAGGAGGAGGCAGAGACTAGGAGTGCTGTGCTAATGGAGCCTCCCCTAAATGGAAAGAAGTATCAAGAATGGGGAAGCAGCATGCTCCTGCCCTGAAACCAACAGCAGGCTGTATCTATCTGTCCGTCTGTCTGTTTTGCTCTCCTGAGCCACAGCTTGTGAGGCAATTTCTTCTCTTATCTCTTACAGGTTAATGACGTTCAAATGTATAAATCCATATCAGTATTTCCAACTTCCTCCTGAGTACTGCTGACTTCCACAGGCATCTCCAACACAAAATGCCCAAAATAAGACCCCTCAACCACACGGACCCCCACTCTACATGTCTTTTCTTTACATTCTCCTCTATTGCCCACCTTTAAAGTTGCAACCAATCTCCAAAGCTGGAACTCTGATAATGGTCCTAGATTTTTCTACACCCAATCTCCTAAATTTCTCAAATAAAAGCCCTTCTCTATCTCTGCTGCCACCAGCTTGATTTAAGCCAACTTTTTAATTTTTTTAGTGTTTTTCTTAACAGATTTCCCTGCTTTTTCCTGCAATGCATTCTTCACCTTTGTGACAGATTGGTTTTTCTAAAGTGCAACTCTAATGCTGTTCTCAAAAATATTTTTTAGAAGTTCCCAATTTTATAAATACAAACTCCTTAACGTGATGTAAAAGAACCTCTGAGTGGCCCAGACCTGCCTTTCCAGCTTATTCTTTTTACGTGTTCACAATATGCACTTCACTCATATCAAACGACTTTTATGTTTTCCAGATGCATCATATCCTCCTGTCTGCTGCCCCTCTATCTGAAATGCCTTTCTCCCCTCATCTTCCTAACTCCTTCACATTCCATGACGCAGGCTCGACACCGGGAATGTGCAGGTGTGTGCTCGTCTGTCATAGCATCCTCTAAAAACCTCTCTGATAGCACTCTTCACATTCAACTGTAACCTGCCTGCCTCCCCTACCTGCCCCTTGGAGATTTGATCTTGTTTTTGCATTTTCTCCCTCCAAACCAGACCATTCTCTGGTTTAATACCTGGATCTGTGATATACCCATAACATTGTGAGGAGGGAAGCACCGAATCACTGACAATAGGACTTGATTATGGACTTGAGGGTCCCAGGGAACCAGGGAGAGGCAAGTGCAAAACAGCTAGACAGGACCAGCTGAACGTGTGCACATTCTCACACGTACATGGAGGCCCTGCTCCCCGCCCCCTCCATTCCAAAAGATTCTGTAAACCATAATTCCAAAACCCATGAAGAGATCTAAGTCTAAGCAGGCCAACAAAACAAAATCAGAAGATGATTTCACTCCAGATAAAGTTAAAATAATAGATCAAAAATGTCTTAAAATCAGTATTTTTGATTCACGAAAATATAAATGAATTATAACATTTTAAAACATTAGGAAATAATCAAACAATAACAAGCGGAAGTGATATACAAACAGGTGGATATGAAGAAGAACCTTGGAAATGAGAAAGTAAAGTTACTGAACTAAAATCCTTAATAGATGGAATAAGCTTTAGGAATTTACCCAGAATGAAGTGGAAAGATAAATATAAATGCCAAAAGTATGAAAGCAGTGAAGATACATAGAGAATTGACTGAGAGCTTTCAATATATAACAATTCCAGAATAGAGAGAAAGAAAGGGAATGGCTGAGTAACAACCCTTGAAAAGGGCTGAGGGGCTGGCCCTGTGGCTAAGTGGTTAAGTTCACGCACTCCGCTTCGGGCCCAGGGTTTCGCTGGTTCGGATCCTGGGTGCCCACATGGCACCGCTCATCAAGCCATGCTAAGGCAGCGTCCCACATGCCACAACTAGAAGGACCCACAACTAAAATATACACCTATGTACTGGGGGGATTTGGGGAGAAAAAGCAGAAGATTGGCAACAGTTGTTAGCTCAGGTGCCAATCTTTAAAAAAAGAGAAAAAGAAAATGGCTGAGAGGTTCCCAGAGTTCTCAGATGAAAAGTGTACTTCTTTACTGAGCAGGATGGTAAAAATTACACCTAGCAATGACAGTGAAACTAGCATCAAGAATAAGGCGAAATACTCAAAGGAGGGCATGAAGAATTTTGAGGGATGATGAGTATGTTTGTTATCTTGAGTTTGAGGATGGTTTCATGAATGTACAGTGTCGGGGAAGTGGGAAAATTCCCCTCTCCCTTCTCCTTAAGGTTCTTATGGCTGGTCAAATAATTAAAAAGGCAGGTTAGCAGGAGGAAATCAAAGTTTAATAGCATGTATACATGGGAGAAACTCAGGAGAAACTGAGTAACTCAGGCAACTGGCCGAGGCTGCCTGTTTACGGATCTTTAGCTACAGACAAGGAGGACATTTGGGGTAGTGATTTCGGGCTTCAAAGGGGAGGAAGGCAACCCACATGGAAATGGAAAGGCAAATGTTTGGTAAATAGAACTTTGATAAGAGTGGGCTTAGCAAGGATCCTCCCAGTTTACTGATACCCAGAGTTATCTATGGTGAGGGCCTGTCCTGGGGACAGCCCTTTATTTTAAATTTGTTTTAGGCAGTTGGGGGGAAAGGTCGAATGTTCTTCTTCCTCAGTCTGAGCTTTTATTGTCTTCAGCTTGAAATAATCCACATACCAGAGTAGCGCATCTTGGGGCGGCTTGCTCTGAACCCCATCAACACAAATGTCAAAACATCAAATTATAAATTTTAAATGTATACAGTTTATGGTATGTCAATTATACCTCAATAAAGATGTTAAAAAATCAAGAGCAATCACTAGTATAATGTTAATATAACATAATATATACTATAGTGTTAATATAACAGTTTCTAAAACAGCTGAAGAAAAAAGAAGGAATATAGAAAACTTCCGGTCCCACTGAAGGCAGGAAAAGAAGAAAAAGAATCATTTCCAGGGTGGTAAAAACAACAAAGTAAAACAATGAATTAAGTACACTTATCAAAAGACAGTTTCAGATATTTTAAAAATTCATACTATATGCAGTTTATAAGAGACGGCTACTAACAATAAAGAATGAAAATAAAATGACGGAAAGAGATTGATCAAATGAAGGCTAATGAGACAAACTTTACATGAGAACAAGTAAGAATTTATGGCAAAATCCATAAAAATGATCCACTAAGAAAATTTCAGAATCATGAACATGTAAACACTTAAAAATATGTACTTCTAATATGAAAAGCAAAAGTTAAAATGACCAAAATGAATATAGTTTTAGTTGGATAGTCAACATACCTCTTTCATAAGTGTATGCATCAAGCAGACAATAATAAGCATTAATAATCTTCTGAGATAAACAGCAAAAAATTTGCAAGTTTTACCCAATAGAAAGCCCAGTATAGGAAATAACACTGGTTTTAAACACATACAGAGCACTTAAAAAAATTACGTGATAGGTCACAATGAAGTCTCAACAAATTTTTAATCCATTTCATCATGATCAAATTCCTCCTACCATCATGTGTTAACTTAGAAATAAACAAGAAAATAAAACTTTAAACTACAAACAAAACTTCCTAAGCTTGGAAACTTTAAAAATATACTCCTAAGGAACTCATAGGTTAAAGAGGAAATCACAATGCAATTTTGGGGCTGAACAACACTGAAAGTTCTATTTATCAAATTTGTGAGATGACGTTAGAATGACACTTAGTGGTAAATCATATCTATGCGTATACACATATATATTTAAAAATATATAGTGAAAAAATTAGTTTCATAGTCAACTCAGAAAGCTAGGACAAAGGAGTTTTTCATTGAACTCATCCTCTAGACAGAGCTCGCTAACCCCTTCTCTCACGCTTCCATAGCACTTTGTACTTTCCTCTGTAATAGCAGTTACTGAATATTATTTTGACATTTTTTTTACAAGCCTGTGTCCCTCCCCACGAGACAGCAAATACTGAGTGGAGACTTGATTAATTTATTTAAATTTATCTTTCAATATTCAAAAGGTGGAAAGAACGTTCACTGGTGTGCCCTCAGCTCAGCTTGAGTAACAAGGCATCAGCCATGCTGATGGAGCCCTTGTCTATCTGGCCCTGGTTTCAATCATGCCTCCCCTACCCCAGTTCCCAGTGATAACCACTAGCGCCAATTGGGTGTTGATTCTCGTACATGTCATCATACTTTTCCTACATACGTGTTAGTCCTAAATAATATGCAGTGCTATTTTATATGTTCTAAAGTTTCTATAAATGGTACCATACTGTATACAATCTGCAACATGCTTTTTCACTCAACAGAATGTTAATGCTAGTCATTCATGCTCTTTTTAGCTATAATTCATTAGTTTTTGCTGCTAGTTTTCAATGTATGGAGGAAAAACCCGCAGACATTTAAATTACTTTCCTATTTTTACTGTTAAAACAATGCTGCTACATTCTTGAATGTCTGTGTAAATATGCAAAAATGCAAAAATAGCTCCAAGGTAAGAATTGCTGGATAAGGTATGCATGTCTTCCTAAGCAGATATTGCATTTCCCTGACCAGCAATGAGATGGAACATTTTTGTATTTATCGCCTATTCATTTTTTCCCCCTTTCTGTGAATTCACTGTTCATAATTTGCACATTTTTGTCTTACGCAGTCTTTGCTTTTTACAAGTCGTTTATATTCTCTGGATGCAATTCCTTGTTATAAATATATTTTCCCAATCTGTGACCTACCTTTGGCTATTCTATCATGTTTTTTGATGGAAAATGTGTATTTGATGGGAAAAAAAAGTTTTAAATCTTAATCTAATTTAATTTATTGGTCTGTCCTTTGCACTTTGTACTTTTCGTATCTTAAGACTATGTGTGTTAAAGTGTTGGGGATGTGGCAGAATTCACCCCCACTCCTCGCTTTTACCTAAGGTTCGTATGGCTGGTCAAATATTTAAAGAGGCAGGTTAGCAGGAGAAAATCAAACAAATAAACCCAGAAGAAACTGAGTAACTCAGCCAACTGGCTGAGGTTGCCTGTTTAAATGGCTTCAGCTACAGACAAAGATGACATTGGGGGTAGTGTTTTGGGATTTCAGGGGAGAAGACAATTTACATAGAGGTGGAATGCAAATGTTTGTTAAACAGGTTTTGCTGGGCCAAAAAAATGGGTTTGTTGGTGTCCTTTTGTCACGCCTATTTTACATCATACTATAGCTATCATATGGTAAGAGCTCCTTCCTGGAACAGGCCTTCTGTGTTAAATTCTTTTCAGGAGTTTGGTTGGGGGGGGTGGTGGGGGGGTGCTGGATGTCAGATGCTGTTCCTGAGTCTTCTGAGCCTTTACTGTCTTCAGCTCAAAATAATCCGCATACCAGAGTGGCCCATCTTGGGGCGGCCTGCCCTGAACCCCATCAGTTAACCGTAGGGTAGGAAGACATTTCGTCTACCCACTCTAGGTCCTTCTCACCGGACAATGGATCAAATTCACACGAGGCAGAATAACAGGAGAAAATCAAACAAAGTTTTCTAACATGTATACATGGGAGACACTCAGGCAAACTGAGCAAGTCGCCAAAATGGTGGAAGCTCTCACCTTAAGTACCATCTTCAGCTAAAGACAAAGGAGGATGTTGTGGTTGGGGAGAGTCAGTTATGGGAGATGACCAGAAAAGCACAGTAAACAAGAGTAAGGTTATTATGCAGATTTAAGTCCTTGCCTCCTGTATTGATAAGAGTTTCTAGAGATAAAGTCATCCCCCCTTCTTCCCCGTACAGAGGAGATACCTTTGCAGATGGAGATTTCCTTTACAAATGTAAGTATCTCTTACAAAGGGTAACTTCTGCTTTTCAGAGTTTCTCTCATGTCTGCAGTTTTTAAAAGTAACCAGCCCAAAATAGTCCTCATGCCAAAGAGACATATCTTGGGGTAGCCAATTCCAATCCCCCACATATTCAAGCAGCATTATTTATGGCCACAATCTTTTTCTAATTGCCCTTAAATATTCACACCACCCTCCTGTTGTTATGGGCTGAACTGTGTTCTCCCAAAATACATATGTTGAAGTCCTAACCCCCAGTACCTCAGAATGTGACTGTATTTGGAGACGGGGCCTTTACAGAGATAACTAAGGTAAAATGAGGTCATATGAGTGGCCCTAATCCAATATGACTGGTGTCCTTATAAGAAGAGATTAGGACACAGAACACCCAGACCAAGGGATGACCATGGGAGGACACAGGAAGAAGCTGACCATCTGCAAGCCAAGGAGAGTCCTCAGAGGAAACCAAGCCTGCTGACACCTTGATCTCAGGCTTCTGGCCTCTAGAACTGTGACACCATTAATTTGTCACTTAACCTGCCCAGTTTGTGGTACTTTGTTATGGCAGCTCTAGCTGCTTAATACAGTACCTTGAATTACAACATTTAAGTGTATAATTATGAGATTATGAGAAACATGGAAAACTTTGATGTGGTAAGTGAAAAACAAAAGAAAAAACAAAATGATATGTCTCAGAACCATATAAAAAGTACATGTCTGTGGACAGAGACTGGAAGTTCATATGAAAAAACAGCATTTACATTAGAGTACCAGAATTATGGACAACTTTTACTTCTTTTAAAATTTGCTCTATTGTTAATATATGTTGTATATATTGTTTACATAGGGTTTTTTCCCAAGAAAACCTTTAAGGTAGGGATAGCAATTACATACATCTAAGCAGTTCAACCACAATAGCTGCCTAAGCATGAAAGGCAGAGTAAATCTAAGAACCATTTCATATTTAGGTTATAAAACCATTTTTTGGATTTTATAGACTATGAGTCGCGTTCCTAATTTGAGTCCATGGGGACTCAAATGAGATGCCTGTCTCTGCATGACTTCCTGAGGATGAACACGCAGTCGCCTGCCATTGGCGGGACAGTCCTGCACTGTCAGAGGAGTGGCCTGTACGTTCTGAATCCCCCCAGTTGCCCACAGGGGGGATCTGCTCGTTAATGGCACTTGATCTTCTCACCTCCCTCGCTTGATTCCTGGGATCGCCTCACAGATGAAGCTAGTCGTTGACTGGGGTCAGCGCTGGGGAGGAACCAAACCCCGCACTCCCCCTCTCCGTCTCCATCTCAGTGAGGGGCGAGTCTCCTGTCCATCCACTTCCAGCTGACTCTCCGTTTCCCCTCTCCGTCTCCCTCCCTTGGAGAAAGGAGAGCGCGAGGATCCTCCCGCACCGGCCGCGGGGGCTCGGGCCCTCCCCGCCCCACAGCGCAGGCGGCTCCCGGGGGCGGCGCCCGCTCCTCCCGGCCGCAGGGGGCGCTGTGGGGGCCGCCCGAGCGGACCCGGGCCCAGGCGGGCGGCGAGACCCAGCGTGCACCGCGCCCGGGCTGGGCCTGCGGGCGGGGCCGGAGGCCGCGTGGTAGCCGGGGCGGTTGGTATCGCCCGGGCCCGAGTCGGGGCCTCCCGGACTGCACAGGGCCATGGCCGAGCCGGCTAGGGTAAGAAGGGTTTCCTCGCGCGGATGCCGGGATCGGGGCTCGAGGGTCTTCCGGTTCCGGCTTGGCGGGCCGCCTCCTGGGATCCTAGCGGGGCGGGGGCGTGTGTGGAGTCGCTTTAGGCTCTGGTATAGGGTCCGCGCCCCGTACGGACCGGTGGCCGCGCTCTTGGGGCTCGTGCGTGGCCAAACCCCTGAGCAAAGCCTAGTGTGGACCACGCTGACCAGCAGTGGGCCGATCCTGGGCTGGTGGCGTACTCAGGAAAGGATCCAAATGTGTCTGGGGCCGGCGATGGTGTTATAGTGCAACCAGTTTTACGTCATTGTTACTGAAGTCAGAACTAGTGTTTTAGACGACTTAAGATTCTGATTGGTTGAAATGATGTTTGGCAGGGGCTTATATGTTAGAATTGAGCCGCCAACTGTTAAAGTTTGTTGAGTGTAGGAAGGAAGGAAGACAACGTTGGAAGGAATAGAAAAGGGTATAAAAACCTAAGAGTACACAGTATTTGGCTTTTTAGTGTTTTGTTGAAATTGAGGTTTAGAGGGAGTGGCTATTATTTTTATTATGTTTTTCTATATTTTGTTAACTTGCATATTGAGCATTTTTGCAGATTACTGAACGAATTCATGAGATCATTAATTTTAAAATATCATTAACAATCTCAACATAAAATATAATTCCTAGGATTAAATATAAAAGATACGCAACATCTGAATATAGAAATTATAAATAAATGGGAGATAGACCATGCCCATAGATGGGAAGACTAAATACAGTAAAGATGATACTTTTCTTCCAGGTTAATATGTAAATTTACTGCAGGTTCATCAAAATGGCTGTAAGATTTTTGTGAATTTAGATAAACAGTTTATAAGTTTCATTTGGAAAAATAAAGGTCAAAAATATAGTTCTCGGGGCCTGCCTGGTGGCTGAGTGGCTAAGTCCACGTGCTCCCCTTAGGCCGCGTGGTTCTCTGGTCTGGATCCCAGGCGCCGGCCTATGAACTGCTTATCAAGCCTGCTCTGGCGGTGTCCCACATGTGAAATACTGGAAGATGGGCACAGGTGTTAGCTCAGGGCTAATATTCCTCACCAAAAAAAAATAATAATAATAACAGGGGCCGGCCCCATGGCGGAATGGTTAAGTTCGCGCGCTCTGCCTCTGCGGCCCAGGGTTTCACTGGTTCAGATCCTGGGCCCGGAAGTGCTGCCGCTAGTCAGGCCACCCTGAGGCGGTGTCCCACATGCCACAACTAGGAGGACCGGCAGCTAGAATATACAGCTATGTACTGGGGAATTTGGGGAGAAAAAGCAGGGAAAAAAAAAGATTGGCAAGAGTTGTTAACTTGGGCGCCAATCTTATTTTTTTTAAGATTTTAGTTTTCCTTTTTCTCCCCAAAGTCCCCCTGCACATAGTTGTGTATTTTTGGTTGTGGGTCCTTCTCGTTGTGGCATGTGAGACAGCATGGCTTGTTGAGCGGTGCCATGTCTGTGCCTAGCATCGGAACCAGTGAAACCCGGGCTGGGGAAGCGGAGCACCGGAACTTAACCACTTAGCCATGGGTCCGCCCTTCAGGTGCCAATCTTTAAAAAAAAAACAAGGTAATCTGAAGAAAAAACATTATGTTGTTAAATCAGTGGTAAATACTAGAATGCTTGTTATAATGTTCTCTGTAATTTTTCTGGATTTTTTTAAACTTCTGAAAATTAAAGTAATAATGAAGGCTTTCTGAGCATTTTTAGAAAACATTTAAAAGTAAGGAATTAATCAGAGCGAAGAGGAGAATAAGGATATTTAACACAGAAATTAAAATATTCAGTTCTGCTATAATACATCGTGCATTCCTAAAAATCGTAGTGCAATGCAAAATCATGCGGTGAAAACCACAGCTTATGGGAAAAATGGTGTTAAGCACACAACGTGCATAAAGTTTGTCAGTAACATGTAAAAAGATAGGAACCTAGTAAAAACACAGTTTTATGTACGTTAAATGATTAAGAAATAATCACTACCTGAAATTTGCTTATGGAAGTGAATGTAAGGAGTAGAGCTTGTGAGTTCTTGCAAAGTAGTGGAAGGAACCGTATCTGGCATCAGAGGGAACATAGTAACACAGGTGTGGATAGTAAGGCTCATAACACAGGGTAATCTTGGTAGCTGGAAGATGCTTGAAGGGTGTGCCTGTGGATGTTGTTTATTCCTACTCAGCTGAGTTCTCTTCGTTCACCCAGTGAAACGTCTCACCCATGCCACTACTGACATTTTATACTGGATGATTTTGTGTTGTGGGGGGCTGTCTTGTGCATTGCAGGATCTTTATCAGCATCCTTGGCCTCTACCCACTAGATGCCAGTAGCAACGCCCACCCAGTCAAGATGGAAACGTTCTCCAGGGGGTAAAATTGCCCTGGTTTAGAACTGAACTAGTGTTTCTCATGGACAAAATTGCATATAGGCAAATGTGAAAGTTTTTGATATATTATTCCCTAACATATCAATCACATTGGAACAAATTCACGTTTTAAAAATGTTATACCAGAAATGACTGCTTAAACTTAAAATAATGGATTTCTGATTTAAATATAAAGGAATCAGAGTTTTAAAAACTTGACTCCAGAGGCCAGCCCAGTCGCACAGCAGTTAATTTCACATGCTCCTTTTGGTGGCCCAGGGTTTGCCACTTTGGATCCTGGGTGCGGACATGTGCACTGCTGATCAAGCCATGCTGTGGCAGGCATCCCACATATAAAATAGAGGAAGATGGGCACAGATGTTAGCTCAGGGCCAGTCTTCCTCAAGGAAAAAAAAAGGAAAAAAGCCCTTAACTCTAAGTTTCATATTGAGTACAACAAAAAGATGAATATAAATTAAAGTTGAAACAAGCTGTCCTTTTACCCATAGGAAATAATTGGAGTTAAAACTGATTTAAAGAAAATATTTCCATAAAGGTAGAATGTATACTTAATGTAATTAGAGTGTTTTAAACTAACTTATTTTTAGTTATGAATTTATTTCTAGTTATGAACCTCAAAGTGTTCAATTTATCCAAGTCAACCACGATAATAAACAAAAATGTTAAACAATTTAAACACATTTGCATGTGTTATTTTTTTCTAACATAAATTTTTTAACAGCAGTGAAATTCAAAACCAATTCTTGATAAATTAGTATCCTCTGGATAGGAGGCATCTTGATTAATAATAGAAACCAACAAATATTACTTGTAAAGGTAAACCACTGGGAGCATTTCATTTAAAGAATAAGACAGATGCATTCTCCATCACTGTTACTCAACATCATTCCAGCCAGTGCAATAAGATAAGAAATGGGAGACTTAAATAGTTGTGTTATTTGCAGATTTCATTGTTTACATAGAAACTCCACGGTAACCAACTGAAAGTGTTAGCCAACAAGGGAATTCATTTACAGGATAAACATAAAAATCAGTTTCCCACGGCTTTCATAACTAGAAAATTTAATGGGGAAAAAAGTCCCTCAAACATAGTAGCAACTGAACCTCTAAAATCCATAGGAATGAACCTATCGAGAATTATATGAGATCTACATGAAGAAAACTATAAATTTTTACTAACGCCATAAAAATATCTAGATAAATGAAAGAGATTTTTCTGGGTGAGAAGATCCCATATTTTAGAAATCCAGTTCTCCCAAAATTCATATATTCAGTATATTCCTATCAGAATCCCAAAAGAATTTGTATAAATTCGACAAAATATTTTTCCTATTATAGAAGAAAAAATAGACAAGAAAAGTCAAGACAGGGGCTGGCCCCGTGGCCGAGTGGTTGGGTTCGCGCGTTCCGCTGCAGGCGGCCCAGTGTTTCGTTGGTTCGAATCCTGGGCGCGGACATGGCACTGCTCATCAAACCACGCTGAGGCAGCGTCCCACATGCCACAACTAGAAGGACCCACAGCGAAGAATATACAACTATGTACTGGGGAGCTTTGGGGAGAAAAAGGAAAAATAAAATCTTTAAAAAAAAAAAAAAAAACTTACAAAAAAAAAAAAAAAAGTCAAGACAATTTCCTGTAAAAAATCAGGGAGGTGGGTAGTGAATGGCCATGCTCTCTTAAATAACAAAACATTTGATAAAAGTATAAGAATTAAACAATGCAGTATTGGAACAAGAATAGGCAAATTCACCAGTGGAACAAAAATATACCCGAGTATAAATGGAAAACTAGTTTATGAGAAAACAATCCCAAATCAATGGTAAAAAACAGACTTCAATAAGTTTTGTGCCAGTTGAATATCTATTTGGAAAAAGAATTATGTCCTTTCTTATGATACACAGAAATAAGTTAAAATGGAAAAAGGTCTCATTCTAATAAACAAAGCTATAAAAATGTTACGAAGAATTCAGAATATTTTTTATAATCTTAGAATAGGAAAAGTCTTCCAAATCAAGATACTAAACCCTGAAGCCACAAAAGAGGTTCTGATAAGTATAACAATGCAAGAAAAAAGCAGTGTACTTTGAGAAAAGATGGGGAAATTATCTTTATTTGAAAAATATGATTGTATCCCACCAAAATCTTAATACTATTATAATTGATAAGCAAATATGGTATTTTACTTGGATACAAAATAAGTTTAAAAAAATCAATAACTTCTTTTTCACATAGCAGTACTAATGAAGTGGCAGGGGTGGTCCCATTTACAATTGTTAGAAAAACCACAGAATACCAGAAATAAAGTTAATAAAAAAGATTCAGAACATTTATGAAGAAAATCATTGTTTACTAAAGGATAGCAAGCAAGACCAAATAAA